ATGTCTCTGTCGGACTGATGTAAGGTTGAGTTCATCAGTCGCAGGAGCAGCGTGTGCTGGGGGAGCGGTTTTAGAAACCCTAATATCGTCGCGCCACCCCATTTGATTACCTGCCGCTTTGCGCTACCGTCGCCAACGCCCGTCCGTCCTGATTCGTCTTCAGTCAAAAGTAGTTTGCGCAAATGAACCATGCTGCCTACGAGTTCTTTTAGGACGTACTAGGCCAACCAGCTTATAATTATTTTTAGTACTGTAAACAACAAAATGTGTCCTGGTACTGTCGAGTCTGTCAACAGACGTGGCTTGGGAGGCTGCCAGCAAACAGTGTAGCTTGCTCCTACACGACCGCAGCGAACGACTTCTATCTTGTTTGCCGGGACGATTTGTGCGTAAATTATTTTGTTGAGACAGACTTGCGCAGCATCGGTCACACTCGCCTACCTGGCTCCGACGGAAAAAAAATGTCCAGTTGGGTTCGAGCGTAGTGCCTGACAAAGGTAAACAGTCCGTCTACGTGCAATGGGAACAACCTGCTCCCCAAAGCCTGAACCAGAACTTCACGAGAGCACCTCAGATCTAACGTGCTTGAGAACCTAGTACGAGCCCAATCATCTAGTGCGAGCAACGTTTGCGAAATTTCACTTTTGTCATCCGTAAAAAGGCTCTCGAAATATTCGGAAGGAGTGGGTTTGTTAACATAATTTTTAAATAATGCCCTAGATTTTACACTAACTTCAACTTCTTGGTATCGCTAGATTGGCCTGCTTCGACTTTGATGCGTTTTTAAAAACTATATCGCAGGGGTCTATCGGAAGAATTTGACGACACGCGACCCCCTGGGTGTTTGACTCACATCCAGCATATCACGCATGAACCAAAAGGAATCTATTACAAGTATGTATTCATAAGATGTTCTAGAAAAAATATATTGTCTTGTCCAACAGTCAATTCGATGGAGATCTTTCTAGTTAATCTTATGTTAGCGATGGGCTCAAGCCTTTAAAAAGTTCGGACTGCAGTTTTTGTGTCTTTAAAGACACCAAATAAGTCAGAAGTCGGTAAGCCTCCTTGAGTTTCACATAGTTCTCCACCTCGAATAGAGATGATTGGGAGTTTAGGAGATCGACGACTTTCATAAGTTGTTTTGATAAGTCCCTTAGAGCTTGCAGATCCTCAGTGAAGGCGGATAAGAACTAGAAAAAAACGACGGAGAAGAGCATTAGGAGACTAAAAGAAAGTCCTCCGACATCGATCTGGCATTCAGCTTCGTAGGAGCAGCTGAATAAAAGTTTAATTGGGAAGAAACAGCAGAACTGCTCCAAACCTTATCCTTTGCGATTTTAGCGAGGTTCGCGGCGCTGAGTACTTCCTCTTCAGATGCGTAGACAAGACCACTTGTAGGCAACCTCTGTCGTGCAGGGAGAAGATCAGCCTCACCGAATTTTCGCAGCAGTGCAATAAGCCCCGACTGGCTTTCCGTTTCTGTGCCCTTTAGAATACCTTCGAGCCTGCTCAATACTTCAACCTAGAGAGAAAATAGTCCGGTAGTTGTAAAAACCTAACGTGGCACAGAAGTATTCTCAG